TATTTAGCTTCACAAATAATGTAGCTGTACATTTAAAAAAATTTGCGAAAACACTTTTAATGTATGTTTATGATCAAAATGAAACCAGATCCAATTATAATAATTTTTATTTTAAATAACTTTAAATTTTAAGTTCAAAGGCAATTTTGTGCCAAAAGCAAACAATTTATCAGCCTGCCAAACACAGCACTTAAGTAAATTGTGATTATTCATATTCATTTGACTAGGAAGAGAACAGTGGAAAATATGTTTTGAATGGGTACACTAGAAACCAAGCTTTTCGAACAATGACGTCTTGACATCAACATCCCACAATGGAGTCAAGCATTCAAAGCACAACATATGAAGTGATAGTCTTGTCAATGGCGTGAAATATCCCTCAACAACACAAACTGTAACTCATCTTCAGCTCCAGTAGATCAATCCTCATACACAGCATCAACTTTCAACCTACACAACCAGCATCTACCATCAAGTGCCGTGCTATGAATGGATGTGATACATACTGAAGCCATGAGTTAATCACTTTGCCATAGTGATAGTGAACAAACACTTATATGTTCTCGACATAAATAAAGTTGTTGTAAAACTGAACACTGTAGCAATATTAAGAGAGCAGCCGATTACAAAACTGAAGGGTTCTCATTATCATCATCAGGCGAGCAGCTTCCAGCAGCTGGTCGTCGACAGAAACTGCTTCCTTACTGATTGGAGCCAGCCTGAGATTCCGGAGCCAAATGATATTTGCAGAAATTCACAGGATTCGGTTTAACACAGAATTTTAAAAAGCTTCATGCATTAATCCTTGTCTGCGCCAACAGACTATTGAGACAGAATCAAACCCGATAACAATGCCATTCCAGTGGCGTAATATAAAAAGACTTTCATTTGCGGCAGAATAATGAAACGGGTTCTTTCGAGCGCTCGCAGCGAATGGATTGCAAGCAGTCGGATCTCCTCGGGGACTGCATTAGGAGCCGGCATTTCATGGTTGCATTGCTAGATCTGACTCTCGTTGGCCTCACACAAACACTGACAGTCATACCCCCTCAGGCTCACTGCAATTACTAGGCAGGGGCCCTAAAGTCTAAACTTATCTGATTATATTTCCATTCTGCACTATCCAAACAGTTTTACCGCTCGAACGAGTCCGTTTAAAAGCCTCCTGGAGCGAGATACAGGCTCCGTACAGTCAGTCTACAGGTTCTCTAATATTAGGCTACAATCGCATTTGGTCTCGAGGCAGATTAACGTGAGCCACCAGGCTCTGATAAGAGGAAAAGTTTGACATCCAGTAATGAAAAAACAGACGGAGCCTTTCAGAGGTCGACGTGCCTCATTTTGAGCCTTTTATTCATTCCTCAGTCTACTGGCTGTATGAATAAACATCAGCAGACTGCAATGGTGAGGAACGAGGACGAGCTACTGCGTTAGACGGTGTGGGATTGCAGGAACTGGGCTGTCAGTCTGTTTCACCGAAGGGCCTTACGCTGGGGCTGTCGCAGCTAGGGCTCGCAGAAAACGCTGAGTGTTTTGTCAAAAATTCACGAGACATCTGTTGCCATGCCGGGACCTTGCTTCGAAGACGTTTAATTAAATAAGTGTCACAGCGCGTACAGATAAATATGCCGCAACTGGTGCACGGGCACATAATTATGACAGGGCATCTAGGGAGCTGCGGTCTTCCATGCTCATTATGGCCCATCTGGGACATCAGAAAACAGCGCACGAGTCCCATGTGTTCATATGGGAACAAGCTTTTACTGGTGCCCCCAAAGGAGGGAAACATCCACATGGCGGCATATTTAAACTACCACAACTGTGGCTCAAATTTCCTGGAGCTTTTAAGGCAAATGGGTCAGATTCCCTTCACTTGTGTGAATGAAATGCGGTTGACGTCTTGACATATGCCTGCACGCACGCGCTATCCCGCTTAAATAACAGAGCAGGCAGTTTTAATCGCATAAAGATGTGGATTCCACCCGAATTCATTTTTGTACGCATGGAGGATTATCAAATATAATCAGAAGATTTAAAGATGGCTGACAGCTGTCATATGAGGCAACAAAGTGCCACTAAGACATTGTTTCGAAAATGCAATAGGACAGTCGGGATTAGTTCAAAATCCAAGGAAGAAACTGTCCAGACACACACACACAAATGTTCAGAGGCATATCTGTGCTTTTCTTCAAGAGTTTGTAAGGCATTTGTGCACTGGTTTAATGGTAGCACTCTCCAAAGGCAGTCAGCCTCACGAAGGGGGTTTCTGATTTTCAATGAGTGCAAAATAAGTGTCACTCTGTTGGAGCCGTCTCTTTTAGTGGACTCTATCAGGTATCCCTGTGGAATTAGAGCCCGGATCGCTATTAAACGCAGCATGAGAAACATATTCAGCCTTTGGATGGAAAAAAACAAGCACATGACACCTCTGCGTCCCCAGAGACCTCTTCAGCTTCTGAGCCCTCCTAATTTATGGAATGTTCCCCACCATCCGCAAGGATGACTGATCCCATTCTGCCATACCCTGCACGCCAGTCACGCTGATACTCATTAGCAGGAAGCTTCAGAACAAATACAGAGGCCCCGTGGGGGGAACGTTGGGCATCAGAGGCTCGTCGCTCCCCGATGGTGGTTAATGCCACCCTCCGTGAAAGAAAGAGCCTCCGACTTGCTGCTGCTTCTTCTTGCCACCCTCTGTGACAGGTACCCATTTGGTCGCTCAGGGCTGCAAAGTCTGGCAGCTTCAAGTGGAGCAGAGCAATTGATCACCAGAGAAAGACTTGAGGTGAAAAGGGTTCAAAGAGCTTTTTCTACCCATTGACCAAAGTGCTGGGTTTCCTTTTAGTCACCGCTAAGCTCCCTTAAAGCTGTCCAAGGGCATTGAAAGTACACTTACGGATGAAAACAGGGATCTGATCAATACGAGAAAAAACAAAGCTGCCCTCAGCGCTAAACAAACATTGGACAGACCTTGTCTATAGTGTGCTAGCGTATGCATACGCTCCATGACAGGATGCTAATAAGTGTCAGCAACACAGTGTCATGCATAATAGAGGACGGCTGAACACTTTTTAGATAAGATTACGTTTTTTTACACCCCAATGTGGCCTGTTCAAAGGCCAACATGCTCAAGGATTATGCCACTTTTAACACTCTGATGCTTAGGGCATTGTAATTGTCAGATGTACCTCAGCCTATCCATGCCCCTTCACAGAGAATGAATCACCAGTGCCAGTACTTTAAGATCTGTCAACCAGGATGGATCACTGGGCTGTATATCAGCCATCTGCCTGCGGATGCCGAGGCCATTTTTACAGCAGCTAATAGATGAGAAATGCACCCAGTGGACAGAGCAGAACACCTTGTCAAAAAGTAAAATACCCTCGGAAGCTAACTGGACGAACAAGCGATGGTATGACACTCTGGGAGATGGATAGTAGATTGATGCAACTATATTGTTGGTTTATGTAGTTGTTCGACAAATCCATTTTCATTTTAAATGAACATATCGCTCTTGCTCATTTGCTTTATTTTATTTATGTTCATTATTTATTGTCATTAATTGCTCACTGAAAAAATTATTCATTGAATTTACTAAATTTTTTTAAGGTGCTGAATTTGTTTACAATAACTTACAACGTTTACTTAAAATAATCAATTTTCTAAGTATTTTAATTATTTTAGTAAAAAATGACAAAAATAAATAAATAATGTGCATTGTACTTTCAAAAGGCTCTCTGTAGATTTTTAACTTTAAGAACTGACATGGTGGAACGACCATTTCTGTTAATCTAACAAAAGTGCACAGTTCTTAGCCAATTATCTCAAATTGGCCAAATATCAGCAGGTTCTTTGTATTTCCGCCAACCAAATAGGCAAGACAGCATGGTAATTGAAATGACAATTGAATTGAATTTTCTTTCAGCTAGACACACAACAAAAAAAGCTTGCATCCATCATTGTATTTAGGCATTTATGTCATTTTTCTACAATCTGATCACAAATGAGCTGAGATAAATGTTTTGCTCTCTGAACAGACAGCTGAATTTGTTTACAATAACTTACAACGTTTACTTAAAATAATCAATTTTCTAAGTATTTTAATTATTTTAGTAAAAAATGACAAAAAATAAATAAATAATGTGCATTGTACTTTCAAAAGGCTCTCTGTAGATTTTTAACTTTAAGAACTGACATGGTGGAACGACCATTTCTGTTAATCTAACAAAAGTGCACAGTTCTTAGCCAATTATCTCAAATTGGCCAAATATCAGCAGGTTCATTGTATTTCCGCCAACCAAATAGGCAAGACAGCATAGTAATTGAAATGACAATTGAATTGAATTTTCTTTCAGCTAGACACACAACAAAAAAAGCTTGCATCCATCATTGTATTTACGCATTTATGTCATTTTTCTACAATCTGATCACAAATGAGCTGAGATAAATGTTTTGCTCTCTGAACAGACCTCTCTTTTCAAACTTTACCCATTGTGTAAGTGTGGTAGTAGCAACTAACATACGTGAACTGTAATATGCAGTGATGCTGGGTGCCTGTGATCTCTCCATCCCATGGGATTGTACTACAAGTGATTGGACATGTTGGCCAGAGCTAGAGACCACAGGGTATTAGTTCAATCACATCTGCCGGGTTATCACCTACAAATTCATAGCAGCAAATATCATACTACAAATTTCATTATTAAACAATGATTGCTTTATTCCCAAAGGAATAATAATAACAATAATGCTATCATAATTTAGAAGGGACCTTAAGGTCTGAATAAATTGAAATCTTGAAAACAATCTGGAGATTTCAGCTTAACCAGTATGCTCTTTTTTGATTCTAACAGGATTCATGTTTGATCCCGTTAGAATTGGTTCCAAATTATGACAGGAATTCCATTAGCATTCAGTAAGGATTCTTTCTATAGATCCCACACATCACTGACTCGTGAGCTCGGAGTCTCAGGGGCCACTATAAGACCGGAGACGCTTACCTTGCGCGCAAGTGTTATTGATAAATGAAAACATTAGAATCCATCCGGCGCTCCACTTCAGAGTTAACGCGCGCCTTGACATGATGCTCCGACACGTCTTTGAGTCCGCAGCACGCGTTCGCCCGCGCCGCGCTGGATACATGTTGCGCCGTAGTCCCGGTTTCCCCAAAGCGATGCGAGACACCGAGCGCGTCGCTCCCGTGCGTCCAAGACCAGCGCTTAATAAGGAGGAGTCTATAAATCAGTCTGTACGGGTTAGGCAACAATAAACTGCAGCAAAGTCCGAAGAAGCAAAGTTTAAGAACTGTATAAACAGCACGACTTCAAAAGGCAATCATTTTATTCTTTTGTTAATTATTTTGATTATTTAGTTTAGATTCGTTACAAAAAAACAAACAAAAAAAGTTAGGCAAAAATAATTGTTTAATCTCAGAAACCTTTCTGAACTGGGTTCAGATGAATTCAGTCATTTGCGTTCAAAGGAGTGAATCGATTCCGCTGCATCCCCTGCGCATCATGAAACATCTCTCAAAGTGGATGCTTTGAAAAAGACACTATAAAGCTACTGCTGGAGAAAAGTAACGGCTGAAGTAGTGTAGCCTCGATGAGGAAATATTCCGTCCAGTATCTTGGATGTATTCCCCCCAAAAATGCCGTGTCCGTATCCTCTCAGTACAGCGAGCAACAATGTATGAGTGCCTGATAACTCCAGACTGAAGCGGAGCTCCTTCACTGCGGGATGTCGCCACCACGCGGCGGACAGGAGAACTACATCTTCCTATTACGACGTATTTATGTTCAAAATAGTTACAGCCAGGATCATTCAAAGTTTAAACGTTCATACTGCGGCGAGACCATGTTTAGGAAAATGTCAAGGGTTTATAACTCGCTGCGAGCTCTGCTTATCTATGAACGTTTTATTAATTGATAATTAGTTCAAGCTGTCCACAATTTCCCACTGGATGCTAGTATTATAACTTCACAGTGCAAGTTCTCTGCCAAGAGAGCACAGACTCGTAGAGCAACATTATTATTAGTCTCTCTCTCTCTCTCTCTCTCTCTCTCTCTCTCTCTCTCTCTCTCTCTCTATTACTCCGGTCGCTCCGTCGC